ATCTCTTATCTATAAACAAATCCATAAAGCCTCATCATTTCAGTCCTGATGCCAGCAAAAGTCCATTAAGGGTTACTAGAGATAACAATATATCTATTTTAGCCTTGATCAAATAAACCAACTTTATATTCCTTCCTTTTACTTTTAACAATCTTGATCTTTAGTCCCTTCAAATAATGTCCTAGAACTTGATTTCTTTTCATTTTTTCTTTGTCCCTTCTCACAACATTCTTTAAAGCTTTAACAAGCCTCTTTTGTAAATCCTGTATAGGAAAATTATCCAGGTCACTCTTTTGGTTTATTTGTATATCCCTTTTAATTATTTAAGACATCAGCCAGTTTCTTTTGTATGTCCAGTGTAGCATCTTTTTCCATGTCATTCTTGTAGCCTGTCATTTTTAAATCCACTTTCAAATCAGTCTCAATCACATCAAGTAAAACTTGTTCCTCTTCTATAACATCTTTTAAACACAGTCTATCTATAGAGGCAGACATTATTAAAATTAATTCTGGGTCCATTGTTCAAAAATATCCTTCAATATGCCCAATGTTAAAATATGTTACTTCATTCTGTATTTGTAAGTCAAGTTTGAATGTTCTTCTCCTTTAATTGTAATCTTTAATTCCTTCTAGTTCCCTCTAGTGACCAATTTTTAAAGTCTTACCTTATGTTTTTTCTTAAAGAATTCAAAACAAAAGCATTTTCCCACGGGATAGTTTCTTTATAATTAATTCCAAAATCTTATTTCAAATTTATCTGGACCCTTACCCCATTTGTAACTTTCTAAAATCAAAGTTTTAATCACCTTTTTGCTGTTTATTCCAGAAAAAAAAAAGTCCTTAAAACCCTTACCCCATTTGTAACTTTCTAAAATCAAAGTTTTAATCACCTTTTTGCTGTTTATTCCAGAAAAAAAAAAGTCCTTAAACTTGTATTTAAAACTTCTTTTGCTAAAGATTGAAGGAAACTCACCTGATGGTGTCATACATGTCGATCCAAAGGTTCCTAATAGCTGAAAAGCAGTTAGCAAGCATTTCTGAAAGTGATTAGAAAAGGAAGTATGTGAAACCAGTGTCCTTTCAAAGGTGCTGACTGCGGTTTGAGCAAGATGGCTATTCCCTCATCTCCCAGAGCTCCAAACTCATCAGAGACTGCTATCTTGTGGTCTTCTTGCGAGAAGCAGCTGTCTGGAACACTTATGAGTGATCTCAAGTCGTCTTCTTGTCCGGAGAGGAATTACAAAGAGCCAGTCTACTTGGTGGCTCTTCATTCCGCTGCGGTTGTCAGCTCTGCTTTTTATGGAGCTGTCTTCAGTTCGCCATTTCTTTCCCAGAAGTCAACAGTGGAATCTATTTCTTCTTGGTTGTATCCTCTTTTTTTGAAATACTGTCTTGTGCACACCCCTCAAAATTTTGCCCTTGGCTAGAAACATGTTATCCTGGCATTACAGTCTCTTTATACAAACTGTCCAGGCATATAAAATCTTATGAAGTGAGAGAATGGAATCAGAACTCCGCAATGGATCTCCTGTGTTCAGACTCACATTCAGATCTTGGGAATGATCTTTGAAAAAAATACATATTTTATAGTGTCTGATGGTAATTGGCTGCAGTCTTTAGTGACAGTGGATTGAGCTTCCCCATATGGATGTGAGGAACCCTGAAAAGGAATGATATATCTGCTTCATTATGCATTTTGTATTCCTAGCAGTTAATCACAAACAACACATGTAATTTCTTCTGTTAATTTTGTGTGACCAGCATTTTTCTTTGCTTTCCTGTCCTGTCCTATATAGCCAGCATCTATCATTCACACTCAGCAAGCCAATTCTTTTTAATTCTTGCAACCCTTTACTGTAGTCTCTCTTTGTAGCCAACCATTTTATGTTTATACTATTAAGACCTCACTTGATTGTACATTCCCAAATACTCGCTGGTATGCATATTTTCCAGACTGTGTATCCAGCATGTCTTCCATACTATCTGAACAGGTTCCGATGTTTTTTCACAGATGCTGCAGCTGGAGAAGAAGCTTGGAGATGAACTCCAGCAAGATGCCAGGGTCATTGCCTGTCGCTTTCCTTTTCCCCATTGGAGGCCAAATCATAGCTTTGGCGAAGGCATTGACACAGTTTGGGCATATGATTCCAAATCGTTTAGAATGAAAAAGGAAAATGATGCAGCAATCGTCAAGGGCATTCTTTCTAGTTAATTAAAACTCCAGGGATAATGCCACGTTGAATTGAGAGTGTGGGTGTTTTATAGATCACATTATTTCTTGTGGCTCTTGGGTTGGTGGGCAAACATTTCAGAAGTTTCTGGAAATATCTTATGTGTAATGCACTATAAGTGTTCAGCGGTGCTTCTGTTATGAAAAACAAACAAATATACGGAAGTCCCCTCCAAATCTATGGTTCAAAACCTTGGGATTATGTGGGATAGCAGTTGATTTTTTAAAAACAAATTACTGAATTGTGATTTACCATTGTAAAAATGCATTGGTAAGAGTATTCAAAATGATATAAATACTTAAATTAAAAATTAAGCATTCTGATACAGTTAATTTTGAATCTTCAACTTTAATATGTTCGGTGCCTTCTGATTAAAGCTATGGTCTGCACCCTTATTCCAAATAAGTCCCTTTATCCCTGTTATATTGTGATGAGTCAAGGAACAAGATTTTAAAATTGACTGCCAGGATGCGGGGCCATAATGAGAAAATCTGTTTTGTGAATTAAAGTGAGGGGCAGTGGAATCCTAAGTTAATAAAAAGCAAAAGAGAATATAAAAATAAATATGTTGTTTTTAAATGAAGATGATTTTTTGATAATACTGTGTTTTATTAAAGTTGTTTAGATACAACCTCCCATTGTCATTGCATTTTTTAGGCAAAAAAGTAGAAGCCAGACAGTAAATTAAAAAAAGGAAGGGGGGGGCAGATTTTCATGGGAGCCCAAGAGTTTTTAATAAAAAGCAAAAGAGAATATAAAAATAAATATGTTGTTTTTAAATGAAGATGATTTTTTGATAATACTGTGTTTTATTAAAGTTGTTTAGATACAACCTCCCATTGTCATTGCATTTTTTAGGCAAAAAAGTAGAAGCCAGACAGTAAATTAAAAAAAGGAAGGGGGGGGCAGATTTTCATGGGAGCCCAAGAGTTTAAGCAAAAGCATCACAGCTTCCATGGAAAAGGGTCAAGATAAGTAAGAATTAAGTAGAGTTTGGTGCTAAGCATCTGTGCAAGTTTGGCAATGGCCAAAGAGACCTATTTCCTGACATTATTCAGCTAAATAAATCCCACTAAAATTATAGGCAGCCATCAGAAATAAGATTACTGAATCTGTTTTGGACACAGGTCATTGTGGATATACAGATAGTACAATTCTTAAAACTTAGGGAGCAATTTTCATTCTTTAAAGGACAACTTTTAATGGCGTAGGTGGGGATGGAGTGAGATTTTGTGGATTTATAGGCTAATGATGCAAAGCCTGAGTTCTCTCTCTCTTTTTGAAAGGAACTTTAGGAATGCAGTATCCTTTTTTATACATTATGTTAAAACTATTTTAGGACTTATATTGCTTTTTAAAATTTTATATTATTGTTGGTTACATAGTCAGCTAGATGTTTAGACTGGGTTTGGCATTTTTATCCACCTATTGAGTTCTTCCCAAGGACCTGGGATAGGCAGATGTGATTGTTTGATGGTGTTAAAGTTATCGTCGCAGGATGTAAGCTGTTCCAAGTAAAGCTTTGCAATTGACTGATGATTTTGTCAATGTGACTGATGCTTATTATTATTGTTATTAAAGTTTTCATCTCAACAGGGCAGGAAACCATTACATTTATTTCTACAATTGCGGAGTCAGAAGTGCCACTAGCGGGGAGGAGCAAAGGGTTTGTGGGGCTGCATAAGGCTATGCAACTAACATGAAGAAGCTGTGAAAATCAATGAAAAAAGGCCTTCAAGGATGAAATAGTAGATTCGCTTTATAAGTATGATTGCACTTTCTGCTACCATAAAGTTCTCAAGTAGTATGATGCAATTCCAAGGAAAAGGGAAGAGGAACTCATTCCTTAGAAGATGAACAAATATCTATTTTTACAGAGGGTCATTTCCATAAAGTGAAAAGCTCCTAAGAATGATTAATTTAATAGTGGCATAACTAGGTAGGTATGTGAGGTATGTTGATCTCATGATGTCTTACCTACCAGGCACAAAGAGTTTTATAAGTAAGAAGCTGGTGGGTAATTTCTCCTTCCTCACTACCATCAACTGGAAGGAGCAAAAATATAGCACAGTCACACCCCCAATCTATTGAGGTGATCCAGAAAGAAATTATGGTCAATGGCACTGAATGCCACTGAGAGATCCAAGAGAACTAGGAGCAGCACGTTTCCCCTGTCCAGGTCTTATTTCAGGTCATCCACCAGTGGGACAAATACAATTTCCATTGCATGCCTGGATCTGGCCCCTTTCTGAAATGGCTCTAGATCACCTACTTCCTCTAGAGGGCATTGCACTACCTTTTTTACAACTTTTTCCACAACTTTCCTCAGAAATAGGAGGTTGGATATTGGGTGATATTGTGCCTACTTTTAGGCTAGGAATGTATCTGCCTACTTTCTCCTCTGCTCACACAACTCACTGACGGTCTTGTACTGGGATCTGTTAGTCCAGTATCTGGGAGCACCCCTCTGGGTTTCCCATGTTTGGTAGCCCAAGCCCCTCAGCTGGCTCCCCACCCCCAGGGCTGTCTCTGACTCTCTAGTCCAAGTTTTTGGACTAGAATTTAGGTGATGCAAATTCAAGTCATCCTGCAGTTGTAGAAATGCAGTGGATTACTTTGAGCCAGTCATTTTCCCTCAACCTAACTTATTCCACAGAAGTGTTGTTGTGGGGAAAACTAGGAGGAGGAAGCTCCTATATATGCTATCTTGAGCTCCTGGAGGAAGTTAGGATATAAATCTAAGCAAACAAGTGTGACCACATGTGGAATATTGTGTAAGGTGCTGGTAACCATGCCTCAAAAACGATCTTACAGAGACCTGCAAGTACACACCAAAAAACCATCAAAATAATTAAGCAGTTAAAGCAGAAAAGACTAGCAAATAAGACTTTCTGCTTGAAGAGAAGGCAGACAAGGATAATAAATCTATAAAATTATAAATGCTGTGGAACACGTTGCTTGACAGAAGCTTTTCTTCTGTGTGATACTAGAACTGTGGATAATCTCTTGAACTTAATTGCAAAGGGAGTCAGGAGTTATAAGAGCTTGGCTCATACGTAGTTCTTTTTAAACTATGGAACATCTTGCCACTAGCTATAGAGATGGCTATCCATTTAAATATTTAGAAGAGGGTAAATTAATGGATGGTTGGACTAATGGTCTTATGATTGTATATACTACTGAATCACAGTCAATATATTTTAAGTATCAACTGCTCAGAACAAAAGCATACATGAAAAAGAGGTAACACCCACCAGACCAAGCTTGTGAGGCTCCTGAATGTTTGGCCAATGTGGGACATAGAATGTCATACTAGATTCTGTCCTCATTTGTCAGGATTCTTCTTAAGGCGGAAGCAAGCTTTTCTTATAGAATAATACAATATATTGGCTACACTTTAAACTCTCCTTTAATTAAAGAGACTCTGTTTTAAAATTAAAACGGAACATTTCTGAAAATGTTTTGAACATTCCTTGGAGAAGCAGATCCATTCAATTCATATATGTTGTGTGATTTTGCCATGAATCAGGTACATATGTTGCATATCTATCATTCTATTCTCTTTTGGGGCAAGCTACATTCTGCAGAGTGTGGAAAAGGAGTAAGAAATAGTAAGCCAGATAAAGTAAAGACATGAAATAATAAAAAGAAGAGGAAACATAGCTAAAATTAGTTTACCCAAACACCATTCATGATACTTCTCTGTACCATTCTATGCTTGCAAGCTGTCCTTGCTTCCACCAATCTGTACACTGGAATTTGATGTTGTAGCATGTAGCATGATTTATAGCTATTGGCCCAAGACAGCATTACAGATTGGCGTTGCTGAGCACCAGCCAAAGAACACACTTCTTTCTGCAAGGGGAGATGATTACTAAGAATCCTGCAGACCATGTTACTGCCTTCAATGTTGTCATCTGCTCACTTGACCAACCATACTTTGGCAAAGAAACACACAACAGTACTGAAGAAAAGATGTTGCTGCTGACTGTTCACTCGCTCATTCATTCATCACATCTCTCTATGAAAGGCAACTGCCTCAGCAGAGAAGCAAAGTAAATAAAGATTCATTGATGCTGTTCTACCTGAAGACCTCCCAAAAACAGGATTTGAATTGGTGCTGTCATTAATTGTTCTTCCTCTTCTAGAAATTCGGTGTAGCTCTTTTTCAGAGTTACTGTCCTGTCAATCCATGGAATCCTTCAGATATTGCCTTGTAGAAGTTTTCAACCCCAGTTAGCTAAGCAGAAATTCCACTCTATTACAGAATACTGTATTTATGAAGATGCCAACTGCAACGAAACTTTCAGAATGTTTGCAGTCCAGATTTGTGAGGGAAGAAAATGTTAAATGATGATGGTGGTAGTTTTGTTGGGAGTAAAGTTTCCTAACAGTTCAAAGGACAAATGTATCTTTGGAGAATAAGATAAGGACAGAGAACACCCTGGAAATACAGAACTTAGAAAAACCAAATGCTGTAGAAAACCATAGAGAAGCAACAAAGGCTGAGAAGTGGAATGAGGATACATCTTTATTTGAATCACCCAGTCCATTCTTTGACCATAGGTTTTCAGTTGGAATGCACAACAAGAATGGCCTTATACATTTATAACTGTATAACTCAGCAAAAATCAGAGAGGAGATTGATTTTTCATGTAACCCCTCCCCCCTTTCTCATGAGAAATGCTTTTTTCCACATCTTTTTATAAAAGGGTACAAAAGAGTTATAAAATAGAGGATGTTGGAGGAAAATAAACTTCTTTCTGTTGCCAAGGTAACCAATCTCTGCTCCCTTCCAAGATCGGTTGCCAGATTATAAAATTCTATGTTGCCTCCATATTCTACTACTGCAAATTATGTACTGTATAATTATATCCAACTGGAGGAGAGTCAAGGCAAAAGCCTTGCTGTGCACCATGGGCAAACAATGAAACAACCAGCTCAGTAAAGTGCCCTTCTCTTCCATGGGTGACAGCCTAGTGACCTCACCAGGAACCATAGCTGAATTGTTGCAGAGAATCATAATTTTAATTATATGATTCTTGATGACTGAAGATCACACAGCTAAAAAGAAATCCCTAAAAATGCTACAAAGCAGCAGCATCTTGGTGCTGTAACCCAGATTGAAAAGAAGTCTGGCAGCTTTTCTCCTCTCTTGAAAACTCAGTTGGACTTATTTTTTAATGTGTGTGTGTAATATATAAAATTATAGGCATTCATATATTATTAACCTGTAGCCTGCAGGCATGGCTTATCTTAGTTTATTTTGGATAGCACCTAAATTGGGCATAGCAAATACAATTTTTTTCCCATGCTTCCTAGAAAAATGACTTGGTTTACTAATGCTAGGAAATAAAGTCTTGACTAACACGTAACCATGTTCATTAGCAGGTGCTATGGTAGTCTACAAATCTTTCAAAAGAAGTTGTTTTTTGAATGACTAGATCCATGGGGATGTATGATTTCAGCTTGGTGGTGTGATTAATACTTGCCCTAATATTAATGTTTGCAACTGCTTATTATGTTTGCTTGACAATCTTTGTGAATTTTTAAAAAGATCATAGAAAGTATCATAGCCACCCAGTCTGATTTTAAAACTGAGAACAGTGAGCACTCTGGATGGACTGTGCTCTCAAGAAGAACAGAAACAGTGAGCCCTGGAGGGATGTATTTTTCTCTCAGTGATTGCACCTGATCTCGTCCTCCAGGAATTT